GATTTCATACAAATTTCTTCTTTCTGGTTCTTGAGGATCGTGGTTCTTGAGGATATATGTATTTTTGACATTCACACATGTAATTTTCACTTCAAATTATTTGGATGATGGCGTGGCCCAAATTTGAAAACACAATTTGATACATGTATTCTTTGACACATATTTTTACAAAAATTTGGTGCATAGAAAGTGTCAAATCTTTTTCATATGAAAAATATTTTAGATTAACCTTTCAATAAAATTAAAATAAATATATATATATTTTTAATCGAAGAAATGAATTACTATTAACAACATCTGAAGAAATAGTCAAGAAAGGGAGATTTGCAACACATTTTTAAATAATTGTTGACCTTGAAAAATCAATCTTTTTAATAAACTTGGAGTTTTCTTTTTAAGGTCATGATTGAACGATAAAGGTCTTTTTTTTTTATTTTCTTCTCTTTCTATGCTGTAGACCGAGTTTAGAACAAAAGCTTGAGTTTAGATATGTCTTTCTCTCATATAACTGCTGAATTTGTCAAAATGAATGCCATACTATCAGATAACAATTCATTTGAGTGAAATTCTATTTTTCCAGAACCAGGTTCTTATTAGCTCAGAGTGTAATATAAACTTATTTGTAATCTTCTGCAAGAGAAATGGATTTATTTCGTTTCTAGCTGACATAAAAGCATTTTTATTCTTTAAATTGTCATGGAAAGTATTCATATCAGTGCAAGCAAGACACTAAGTTATAAGCTGATATTCGTATCTCAATATACAGTTTGCTTAACAAATAAGGTTTTAAACCTTATTTTTTATTTTGCATGATTTTTAAAACCAAGTGAATATGAAAATTTGCATATCAAGTATTGCTTTAAATAGCTAATGAACCACACATTCACATAAAACTCACTTGAAAGTTTGCAAAAGAGTAACTTCCTTGTAATCTCTTTTCACAATTCAAAAAGTGCAAAATAAGGGGAGGGGGGAAGCAAACTAATTTGGAACAGACACGCCCTCTAGAACATTTAACAAATCAAATATACATGAAGTTTGAAATAACATGTGATTCAGTTTAATGAGGCTCAACCTGTTGCATTGCTATTTAAAAGTCTTTCCCTTCTTGTTTATTTACTGTGCAATGTTTTAACACAATGTGTTGCAAAAAAAACATAAACATGTCTAACTTCTGATTGTCTCTCCAGATCAAAGCGATTGTTGATAAATCTTGTACCCTACAGCATCAGTTCCTAAATATAAAAATAACAGAGATATAAATGATTAATTTGGATATTTCTAAAGACGCAAAAAAAAGAGAAACTTATAATGGTAAAGTGTTTGAATAAATAAATACATATGAAATATGGGACACCATTCAACTGAAAGTACTAAAGTTCAAGATCTTCCAAATCTTGCTCTATTTGGGGCATTCAAAAAGAGTTAATTTTTGCATTATTATTTAAAATATCACTTAAACATTATTATTTAAAATCAGGTTTTTAAAAGACTATTAGGATAGTTAGTAAAAATTTCTTAGAGTAAAAATTTTGTTTCATTCATTGTGATAACTAAAGGGTCTGCGAAAATCCACAGGTTTAAAGCAGCTCTTCCTGCAAATAAATACTGAAGACTACACTTTATCCAATATTAAAGTTCAAGCTACATAAAACTAACGGTTCATTAAAAAAAAAATGTTTGTTGCATTCTGGAGGTAAATCTGGGATTTTGTGTTAGTGGAGTGTGGGTTAAACATGTAAGGAAAACAAATTTAAATTTATCACAAACAAATGAATTTTAGCATTTTCTGCTAAAATCTCATTGGTGGATTTTGATTTCCATAAAACCTGAGAGTTGCTAGGGGCTTCACTCCCTGGGCCCCTTCCCCAACTTTTTGAGTCCCCTTTTTTGAAGAACCCTGGATTCATCTGCTATGGGGTCCAATTCATGTACTAAGCATGATTTTTAAATTAATTTTCTATAATTAATTTATGTGGCACAGTGGTTAGAGTGTTAACTTTGCCCAAGAGTTGCAGAGTACGGATTGATCCAGGTTCAAATCCCACTGTATGACGTTGTGAGTCAATACTGATCATTCAGAAAAGAGTGTAGAAACTGTTCTAATAGCTTGGGAATGCCTATGTCAGTATGAATGCTTCAGTTGATGATGAAACATAACATCTATATGTACATTTCTATATGCTAAAATCGATCTTCACTCACTTTTATTTTATCAGGTGTGAACAGGGTAAAATTGACTTTGACTTCCGTGACTTTTGTGCTATTTTCTGGCTCTGTTACAGCAGTGTCCGTTTGTTGCTTAGGAGCAATTTTCTTATATGCTGTAGTGTGGAATTTTCCGGACTTTCGGACACTCCTGCGATTAAAGGATTTTTTAATATGTTCTGGTTTCACTAGTACAATAGAGCTGGACTGTCCAGAATGATCAGTTCGAAGAATATTTGCGACAGTTTGTAAAGTATGGAGCGTAAGCGACGACTGCTGCTGGGATCTAGATTTGAGGTCGTTGATAAGACTGAGTCTCTTTCTTTTCAAAACATCAAGATAATGCTCGATGTTGTAATCGACTTTTGCCAGGTTATTCAACTTAGCAAAACAGTAACAGCAAACATACTTTGACAAGCAATCACTTGAGCTTGGAGTGTAACCTAAAACTTCAGTTAGCTGACTGAATACACGAAATGTGTTACTAAAGATGCTTCTTCTCTGTTTAGGGGCTATTAACTGGTTGCATATGCACATTGCGACATGGAGGAGTGACCGCCATAACTGTTTTTGTTTATGGCCAGCGGTAAACCTAGTACTCTTGTCTCCCGACTCTCTCAGGCTCGGTTGTCACTGGGCAGTTCAATCCACGTAGAATATTCAATCAATTCATACATAGATTTAAAAAAAAGTTCTATCTCCTTATTGCTCAGATAAATCTCTCTTTTAATCAGATGTTAAAGTGAAGGGTTTTTCAAAAAAGGGGGTGGGGGTTACAACAACTCAGTATAACAAATGTACGTCATACTTTGAATATTTTAAACAAGCTTCAAGTCCCAAGTTTTCAAGTTTCTTTATTTCAACTGTCTCATCAGATTAGTTATACATGAGAAAAAACATACAGAGAGAGTTAACGTATAGCACATAATAGAGAGGTTTAGCAAGCTCACTTGTACTGTACATGTACGTGTAAACTACAAGTTAGAATTACACGTACACGTTAACAATTTTTTCTTGTTTAGCAAAGTATAAACTGTACTTGTACGTGTAAGTGTTTTAAATGTAAAAGTGGTTTACATTTTAAAATCATCCAAAAAAGCAATAATTTTAATATGTATATCACCTTTCTACATAACTATATGCATGTACTTATAAGAAGCATTTCAAACAGAGCTCTTATATTTTTAATCGGTCAAAGCATGTTTCGAAAATCTAGATGTTTGATTTTAACTCCCTATAAATTTTTGACGTTCAGTTCTTTTAATCAGTTTTTGCAATAAATATTCAGGTTTTAGAAAAAAGCAGACTTTTTGAAAAATAAACAACAGTTAAAGAATTATAAGCTACAAGTTTGGACTTACGTGTACTTGGCAATCTACACGTAACCTGCGTAAGAGGATACGTGTAGAAATTCGTCATTAGCAAAAGTGATGACGTAATGCACATATTTCTGGTGCTACACGTACACGTACGCGTACACGTTGGTTTGCTAAACATCTCTATTATGAAAAAAAAAATACTTCATGTATACATCAATTTTATTTTTATTAAAAACTCATTCCAAAAAAAATACTAATTAACATGCTCAAACTTAAAAATTTTATTTTATGAAAAGGAGTAGAGGGACTTTCCCTTGTCAATTTTCTTTCCCCGACAAATGACTCTCCAATTTACGAGATTACATAAAACAGGATTAGAAAACGAGTTTGAAAACTTATGAACAGGCTAGGATGAGTAATATTTCCTCGTACATTTTAAACGGTTTGCGTAGCAAGAAAAAAATAGATTTTCTCCACTTAAGGTCAAGATCTAGTAAATGAAAGGTGCCTACAGATTTATCAAAATTGAGAAATAAATTCCTTTATTGATGCTTTACAACTTTAGCTTGGTCAAATAAGGTGTTTCGGGGCATATTTTGTAGGTAAACAAGATGAAAAACTGTATTTTAAACTGTCATTTTCAATGAAAAATTAAGAAAACCAGTCATGAATGTGGGAGTTTTTTTCGTATTCGGCAAAGGAAATGTATCCAGATTGCCTACAGTCTCTCAGAAAACGGTAATTAGTATGTTCATGGCCTCTTCTTTAAATTATTATCAAATTTAATATAGGTTTCCGGTTTACTTTTCATGATTTCAAATTGAATGACATGAAAATACCCTATTTTCTACATAATTCTGCTAAAGCCGTAAAGTACAGGAAAAAGAAAATTGAAATTGATTATGACGTCATAATGGATCTAGCACCAAAAAATTAGTCTAAAGTTATTTACTAGATCTTGACCTTAAGGTAGGATTCTTCTCGTGTTTTTTGTATTTAAAAAATAATGAAATTTTCACAGATCAAGAAGACAACATCACTAAGTGATGGTTTCAGTGAAATTAAATTTGACCGTCTTATATTAGAGATATTGGGGTCAAATGCTGGTGAGGGTCTCGAGGGGTGTTTCTTTGGTCACGGAGATTCCCCAATAGAACTTCGAGTTAATGCCCACCGTCTCAAAAAGGTTCTGCCAGCAAGTCACATGTCACACCTCCACGTTTTGGTGGCCCTGGAAATGCTAAGGTAGCTGAGTGACAGTGGCGAAAGGCGAGTTTTCGGCGCCTTTAAATAACTGGAACTTGTGACCTAGGGGAAGAAAAACCCTGACAGAAAACCACTAGTCCTCCGAGTACAGGGGGTTTTGCTCAGGGTGAGCAACCCTGACATGTAAAAAAATCAACAGCTACAGAAACCAAAGCCGAGGAAAATTTTACCACTGGAAGGATTGAAACTATTCAGGAAACTGAGCACATGAAGGATGGCAGTCAAACCCAGCAGGAAACTGACACCCAGATAGTGAACATCCTTCACCCTAAAGAAGTATGTAGAGTTGGTTGCTGGAATGTCCGCACCCTCTACCAGACAGGAAAATTGGCCCAAGTCTTAAAAGAAATGGACAGGTACGACATCCAAATGCTAGGTATATGTGAAACTAGACGGACAGGAAACGGGACTCGCAAACTTGCCACTGGTCATCAGATACTGTACTTGGGAAGAAGCGACGAACAGCACAGCAGTGATGTAGGCTTAATACTCAATAGGAAGCTAGGAAAGTGCATGTTAGGTTGGAACCCATACAACGACAGACTTCTTTCTACACGATTCCATTCAAAATTTGCTAAACTGACAGTTATAGTCTGCTACTCGCCTACAGAAGACAAAGAAGAAGAAAAGAATTCTTTCTATGAAGAACTGCAGAGAGCTGTGGAGGAAACACCAGTTCATGATGTACTCATCATACGTGGTGATCTGAATGCGAAAATTGGAACCAACAATGAAGGAAAAGAATCCATTATGGGAAAACATGGATGTGATGTGATTAACAACAATGGTAGTAGACTAGTAGATTTCTGCCTAGAAAATAAGCTATTGGAGGCACCATCTTCCAGCACAAAAACATCCATAAACAAACATGGACTTCACCAGATGGTCACACACAAAATCAAATTGACCATGTACAGATTAATAAAAGGAGGAGAGGTACACTGCAGGGTGTAAGGGCATTGAGAGGGGCTGATGTACACTCTTGTCCTAGTAAAGCTGAAATTGAAATTGAGAAAGATAAAGGAAGGGAAACAACGGTCACCTCAAGTGGATGTGAGCAAACTCAAAGATCCTGCACTCATGAAATCATTTCAGCTGGAGGTTAAAAACCGATTTACCATCCTAAAAGATGAACAAGAACTCAGTATTGAACAATTTAACACCGCACTTGTTGAAGCAGGAAAGAAAACACTGGGCTTGAAAAAGAAGAAGAAGGAAGAATTGATATCATCTAAGACCTGGGAAATGGTGGAACTAAGATGCAAAACAAAGAAGAAAATACTAACAGCCAAGTCAGCTAGGCTATAAGTTCAACTAAAAGAAACATACATAATACAAGACAAGAAAGTTAAGAAAAATGCACGAAAGGACAAGAAAGATTACGTTCACAAGCTTGCGCAAGATGCAGAAAATGCTGCCTCAAAACAAGACATGGGGACATTATATCGCATTACAAAAACTCTGAGTGGAGGATTTAAAAGTACAGATACACCAGTGCGAAAACAAGATGGAGTATTGGCCTCTAGTTTAGAAGAAGAGCTTACCTGTTGGAAAGAGCATTTTGAAAGGGTATTAAACCAGGAATGTCCATCAACAGAACATGCTGAAATTATTGAAGCTATAGACACTTTGGACATCGATACCAACACACCAACAATTGAGGAAGTAAAACATGCCATCAAACTTCTTAAGAATGGGAAAGCCCCAGGGATCGATCAAGTACATGCAGAAATGTTAAAATCTGAGGAAGTATTAACACCCAGACTTCTCACAGATATCCTGCAAACTATTTGGCAGACAGATGATTGGAAGGTTTGTCTCATTGTGAAGCTGCCCAAGAAAGGTGACCTAGCTAACACAAATAATTGGAGAGGGGTGATGTTGTTTTCAGTTACCAGCAAAGTCTTAAGCAGAGTCATCTTAAACAGAATGGCCTCAGTGGTAGACCCATACCTTGGTAAAGAACAAGCTGGATTTAGAAAAGGAAAATCATGCACTGACCAGATATTTTCCTTGAGGCAAATTTTAGAACAAAGCATTGTATGGAATGCTACGTTGTATGCCAATTTCATCGACTTTGCCAAAGCATTTGACAGTATACATCGTCCTGCTTTATGGATGATCCTCAGACATTATGGCATCCCTAACAAGATCATATCCATTCTTGGAACCTGTAAATTGTTGTTTTTATCTAAAATTAAAGATAATCCATTGTGCTCTGTCTGTAATCTTGAGCAGGAAACAGGAAACTTTGAAGCATCTTTTTTATTACTGTCTTCCTGTTAAGGGAATATGGGATTGTTTAGAAGAATGGATTTTACAGAAAACTGGAAAAAATATTAACTTAGACCCAATTTCTGTTATATTAGGTATTTCTGGCAAAGAAAACACATCTTTAAATGTCATTATATTGCTTGTAAAACAGTATATATATCAAAAATTTTAGAAACTGTAAACCTTTGATATTTAACGAAGTAAAAAATGTAATATATAAATACTATAATTTTGAAAAATACTTGTTTGCATTAAATATGGAAGACACCCAGTTTAAAAAGAGATGGCAGTTGTTAGACAATCTATTTGATAAATGATTAGCTTTATATGATATTCATAAAAGGACACTGTAACTTTTACTTTTGTTTGTTTGTATTTTTTCTCTCTTTTTTATAAATATACTTATAGTGATAGTAAACACAGTGTAATATATAAACATGCATATATAATATATGTATATGTATATTGAATCATCTTTTTGTACAATTCATAAATAGGTGATACTGAAATGGATGAGTGAGGTGGAAGAATCAGTGAGTGAATGTTTAATAAAAACCCACAATGATTTTGTAAATATAATGCTATTTGAAAGTTGTATTGTGGAAATAAAAAAAAAACAAAAAAAAAAGATCATATCCATCATTCAGATGCTATACAAGGACTTCCAGGCAAAGGTGATATGTGGCACAGAACTAACAGACAGCTTCCCAATCCAAACCGGGAGATGACAGGGATGTCCGCTTTCACTACTGCTGTTTAGTTTCTGCATAGACTGGGTTATGAAAATTACTACCAGTCAAACCAGTAGAGGAATATCCTGGACATTTCAACAGTCACTAGAAGATCTTATCTTTGCAGATGATATTGCTCTACTATTACAGGGATACAAAAATATTCAAAGCAAAACTGATGACCTGGTCAAGTATGGCAGACAAATTGGACTTACCGGTAAGATGAATGTAAACAAAACAAAGTTAATGAAGATAAATACAAAGATAGATAAAGAAGTCACAGCAAACAACAACAGAATAGAAGAAGGAGACAATTTTATATACCTTGGAAATAAGATCACAGCCAATGGAGATTCCACCATGGATGTAGAAAATAGAATTTCAAAAGCCCGTGACATCTTTGAAACATCTGAAAATCCTCAATTATCAGATCCAAAACCAAAACTAAGGATATTCAAAACAAATGTCATTGGAGTCCTTCTCTATGGATCTGAGTCATGGAAGGTGACAAAGAACATCTCGCAAAAACTGGATACCTTCCAAACAAGATGTCTCCATAGAATACCCAAGATATTCTGGCCAAACAAGATCACCAATGAGGAGCTGTATGAAAGAACACTGCGCAACACAGCTGCTATATCTGACCAGATTAAAGAAAGACAATGGAAATGGATTGGCCATGTGATGAGGTTGAAACCATCAAAAATACCAAGGGTAGCCCTAAGATGGACTCCACCAGGAAAGAGAAACAGAGGGCGACCAAAGGAGACATGGCGACGATCGGTTGAAAAGGAAATGAATGATCAGGTGTGGACTTGGGGCACTGTACAGACAATGGCAGCAGACAGACAAAGATGGAGGTCCTCGGTGCAAGCCTTATGTTCTCAAAACACGAAGAGGAATAAGTAAAGTAAGTATATTAGAGACAAGGTCAGGCCAAGGTCATTATTCTTTTCCTGGACGTTAATACTGTAATGAAAAATTACTATTACCAATTATGCGATCCTTACTTGTGTTGCATAAGATTGAATGTTTTTCTTTTTGCATAAAAAGATACTACCATAAAGTGCCTATAGGAGGATATTACCAAATTTACATAATTTAACTAAAATGGATGTTGGCTGATCCGAATTTTCTCGACTTTTCTTTAATTTTTAGAATATAATTGTTATAATTTTTATATGTTACCTATATTTAAATTTTTATCATTTTCACATATATTGTCACATAAGGTTTAAAACACTGTCGCAAAACAATAACTATCGAGTGGAAGTGGTCGATCAAGGAATTTTACATGACTTTCAGTACCATTAAAATAAGCACGTATTTTTTTGTGAGTGATGTTTCTTGCGAAATTACAAGTTTTAAATTTAAAATTCTTCGCGTTTATTTAGAATTTACAGTACTGTAGTCGCTGCTAGTTTCAAAGTCATTTTAAGTTGTATAACTGAGAAGGATAGACAAAGATTACATATTAATCTTTTTAATATTTAAAAATAAAAGACATGCAAGGACATGAACACTTTGAATTTTTTATTCAATCAGAGAATAAATAAGTGCATGATTCGGAGAATATCATGGAAAAACAGATGGGAGTGCCATATATATATTTTGCAGAGTTCCTCGTTTCATTTACTAATGAATTTTATGGGGACAAATTAGATACGTAAACTTGACATTGATTAAAGAGGTTTTATCAGGATGAAAAATTCCACGGTACTAAGGTGACCTAAAAGGCCCCACGAGCCTCTTCTATTGCTTTACTTTTTTTTGAAGAATTTTCTTTGAGAAATTTGAAACTGAACAATTTCAAAATGTACAATACACTGTATTTAAAAGAACCAAAATGATTTTTAACTACCATATATATATTGGATTCCGAAATTTCATAAGAATCCTTACGAACAAAGATACATAGCGGGTTCTAGTAATTGTTCAACCAAGCCTCTTTCTTTACTCCTCAGGAGAAACTTCGAAAGTACTGGGCAACAATATATGGACTGCTTGACCTTGACCATGAAGTTTGACTCACTTTTGCAAACATTCATTAAACTTACATTAACATTAGCCAAAACTTTGAACAAACCGTACCAAGTCTTTTGGATATAAATATGTTATATCTTGACTGTGTTTGACTCACTTTGAATAAAATTTCAACATTGACCATAACCTTTGAGAATTGGTACTAAGGGTGACATATTTCTCAAGTGTATTCCTTGTGATAAGAAAGTAACTTTGCCATAGCTTTTGAATGATTGGTGTTTGGACTTTTCACATGCACTGGTATATTTGTTGAGGCAAATTCTTTATGTGGGAAACGACATTTTTGATAAGATAGGTCTTCTAATAACATTCTAATAAATAGCAATTTGTACTCATGGGATTCCAACAAATTGTAGAAATACCTGGTCTCGAACCGCGATCAATCCTAAAAATCTACAGACAATATAATTCTGTAAACAGGGACCCGGAAATTCCAGAAGTGGAAACAGGTGTGTCTAGGAGGAATAAGCATCCCCTGTTGAGGCGTTTACACCCATCGTTAGTTCTACACGTATGTATGGATCAAGTAGTCAGATATTTCCGTTATTTCCCGATCATGACAAGGAGCACACGACGGGTGTGACCGATCGGCAGGGGATGCTAACTCCTTCATGGTACCTGATCCCATCTCTGATGTTTTGGATGTCCGTGTTTACTCTGTTCCTATTTTGTATTGTTTTATGAACTTTTGATCTTGAATACTGTTCGTTATTTCTATATGTTTCATTTAAAAAATCAACAAATTCCAAACAACAATCAGCCAAAATAAAATCCAGTAATAGGTTATGTTTGCTAGTAATAAGGCCATTGTAACGACCATAATATATTTGTTAAATGTTGACTTTAAACGAGATTATTGAAATCCCTGTAGTATCAATTTATTTGTGAAGGGACTGCATCAGTTTAAAAATTGATTGTACCCAGAGCCTGCTCTAAAGTAGCGAATATAATTTTTTATTTAAAAAAAAAACAACAAACAAATACACTATTATAGATGAAATTTCCGACAAGCAACATACCTATTTAGAAAAGAATGATTATAGACAAATTTATTTTAAAAAGAAATAAACTTCAATTTTTAATACTGGTATAAAGTTCGAATTGATGTTGAAATCTCAGGTTGATACAGGATATGAAACAGTTTATGACATGTATTGAATTGATTTTTTTTTATTTATTAGACGTGGACTTCAAAATACCAAGAGACTTTTGGAAAATTTGAAATCACAAAATTTTACCAATATTAACAGCATAAAAATTTTCTACTTTTCAACGTTATACCCTTTCCCATGCACGATATATAATAAAGTCCAGGCTTTTTGACATAATTGGCGGCGGCTTTTCCAGTAAAAATGAAACTTGCAAAGAATCTTTACTTATCTTGTTATAGGTCATTTGCAAAATTATTTTGTTAAAGCATTCTGATTGTACACACAAGTACTCTGAAGTTGATATTTAAAAGATGCTTGAGTTTCTGATTGACAATATCTCTGTGTTTTTTGGAGACCCGGTCTTCCAACAATCTATTGGAATTCCCATGGGAACCAATTGCATTCCGTTATTAGCATACTTATTTTTGTATTTGTATGAAGCAGAATTTGTCCAAAATCTTATACGCGAACAAAAAAAAGTTAATTGCTGTGGCCTTCAACTCGACATTTATAGATATCGACGACGCATTGTCGATTGACAAAGGCTATTTCCACGCATTCTTATGTTGATACGTTAAATCCCGGTGAGCTTGAAATAAAAGATACCACAAAGGCTGAAATATCTGTTTCATATTTTCATAGATAATTTACTAGGGGAAAACGTGAATGATTATGCTATAACCAAGCGTTATTAAAAACATGGTGACTTTAACTTTTCAATCGTCGACTTCTTTACTTATGCGGAGAATACCTTCATCACTTTCATACTGGGTCTTGCAGTTGATTCGATACGCAAGAACATGCTCTACTTATGAACAATGTCTAAAATGAGATAAATTATTGACAAACAAGTTGCTGAAACAAGAATGTCAACAGTCTTGTTTAAAGTGGTCATTTTGTAAGTTCTGTGGTCGACACAATGACCTTGTCAGTAAATACGATTTATCATTAAGTCATATGCTTACTGACGTTAGTCATATCTATATTATTAGATCTTTATATACTCATGGAATTGTCGACGGATTTATCTGTACACTTTATAAGATCGCAAAGCGGGTGTGACCGGTCAGCAGGGGATATTCACTCCTCCATGGTACCTGATTCCACCTCTGTTGTTTTAGCTATATGTTTTGCTCTAGTCCAATTTTGTATTGTTTAATGGACTTAATTCTGAGATCGAATACTGCTCGTTATCATCATATATTTCATAAAAGAGTAATACAATATATACGTGTTTTATTTAACATATAGATAACATTTCATTTCAAGATATTGAAATGCTTACCTGACATTTCTTGACATGTTTTATTAGACAATTATATTGCGCATTTCTATACTCTTAAGCACCTTATTTGCAAATGAATCAATTTTCGCATTCTCCTTTGAGTGCATATTATTTACAAGTAAAACATTGTATTTATCAATAATACATGTGTAAATTTGTATGTGTAAAACATAAAGATGGCAATTTTATTTATTTCCAATTTTGTTTTAAAATATGACAATTCTTTGGAGTCCGATTTCAGTAGAAGACCCCTCCCCTTATTACAGTACCTTGAATTAAAGGTAGTTAACTTTTTTTTTACACTGGCATTTTAAAATTATGAATCAATTTGCATTGAGATATTCTAAGACTTAATCATACAAAGATCTCAATTTCAAGCTTCAATTGGAGACTTCTTTAATTTAATTATTAATAGTTAGAGTTATCCCTCCTGGCTGTGGATCAGATATCCTTAAAGTGTAGTATTTCTGCTAAAGGTTAACATTATTTTTCTTTAATTTTTTTTATTTAAATTTAGAATAAAAATTTTTACTATAAGGCTACCCCTTGCCCCCTACAAACTTTATCATCTCTTCGAATTAAAAAAAAAAAAGAAGTTCTGGAGAAATCTATTATAGTAATACAAAGTACATATTTATTTCTCAAATCTGCTTACTGTACGTTACACCGTCTTTTTTAAAGAAATTATACAACAGTCCCTGTCTTTCTTGTTTCCTGTTTTTTTTTTTCAATCTGATGGCGTAAACGATTCATTCTCTCTCTCTCTCTCTCTCTCTCTCTCTCTCTCTCTCTCTCTCTCTCTCTCTCTCTCTCCAAAGTCGTTCTCTCCTCTAAACACTGGTCCAAAGCCTGTTTTAGATATAGATTTATTCTTTATATACTTGCCGTTAAATGTTATTCAAACTTTTATCAAAATTTCTTCTTTTCAATCTTTTAGATCAAAGACACCCAACAGCCGACCTAACACTCTGTATAATAACCATAAAGGAAAGTACGGTTATTTAAAGATCAAAGAAAACTTTTATCTCGACGATTCCATGTAGTTATTCTTTCATATGCCTCGGGATTTTTTGGAAAAATCAATATTTACCTCTGCATTTCATTTGTAAGAGGTAGTTTTCTTGTGATTTGTATCAAATATGTTAATTCGAGTTGCACTCACTGGCAACTTGCACGGATAATTCGATAGACAAAAAACGAATTAAACGAACTTCGCCAATTTGCACGACACCCTTCCCAGAAAATGAACTAAACCAACTGTCAGTCAAGCGGCATGAATTCGACCTAGCACCGCCCTCGTAACTCTGTCAAGTGTGCTTTTCGTAAATAGTTTGTGTATTTTCAGTGTACTAGCACTAGGGTTAGTCCTTCGTCTAAAATTGGAATTTTGATCGTAAAAAACTTTTGATTGTGAACTTGGGATTAAAGTG